GCTTCATCCCTTGGAAGATGAGGTTATCGGAAGAGACCAAGCAAGCCTTTCCTAAATGAAAGTTTTATATGACAGATGCTATAAAATTTACATTACAGGAAATCCTTCCTCAGAAAGACAACTTCAAAAAGTGTTTGAAGCCTGCCCAAACTGAAAATCCTGCCAAGCCCTTGGGGATCTCCTTGGTGTCTGGCCTGTAAAGTCCTCCACCTGGACTCTAGAACGCATCTACCTTCACGTCTACCAAACAGAGATAAATATATTGGCTTTAAGACACCTGCCTGAACACAAAAAGAATCAGAAAATTCATTTCAAATCATTGTTAACCAAGTCGAACTCCACTGTGGGAAAAATGGTTTCGTGTTTCTTCCCTATTAATGTCTCACTTCTTCAGGGTGTGTTGTGCTGTGTGAAAATCATACGGCAGCTACAACCTAACCCTCTTCTAAAACAGCGCAGTTGATTTGCTCCCTTTTGTAGCAGCAAGTATTTTCCCCTTTCTCTTCCAAGAAATAAACAGCACAATTAGGTGAAAATGGATACTTACTACTTTAAAAACAAAGCCAAAACTCTACTTTGTCAGGCCCAGCAGATTCTGCGGTAGTGCTGTCCACCTCAGAGTGCTGGCTCTTCAGATTGAAAGGCACATTACAGTGATTGTGGTGAAAAGAAAAAGCCTCCGACCAACCAAAGGGTGCAGACATCAAGGCAAAAAGGGAGCAAATGGCTCACCTTATTAAGAGAGTCTCCTAATTGTTCAGGAGCTCCAGGGAGATGCAAGAATCTGAAACAGGAAGAAATCTTGCAGTTTTTCTCAGACAATTCTGGCTTCTGCAACCTTCTGGGGGCTCGGCTGCACCCTGGGCTTCACGCTCCCAGCTTCACACACTGCCCTCTCGGGAGCACACTGCCTGGCCTCTCGGGCCTTCTTCTGAAATCTGGTGGAAGCCTTGCTGGCCTCTCAACTACTGCGTTCTGCATCCACTTAAAACCAGCACCACGTGGATGGCGCCAAAGCCTGCTGCCAGATGCAGCAGTAGCCAGGCCGCCTTCTCTCCAGGATGTAAGGGGCAAAGACTTGGACTCCTGAGCTGTGTGGAGCAAATTCTGAGACCAAACTTCATTAGGCCACCGCCACTCTGAGACACAGCACTCTAGTGCTCTCTTTTCAAGACAAAAAAATATTTGCCCTTGCAGTTCAGTGGCTGCAGAGGCTGGAGACCTGCTAGTCCTTGTGATGTCCTCGAGCCATCTTTCCTATTTTCTTGTTCCTTCTCAGCAACCAAGTTCTCCTCTGCTCCACGTTTCTAGTCTGAAACTATATCAGACCTTCCCCTGTAGTGAAACTCAAAACATTTCAAATCATTCTGCAGGCTCTTTGCTCTGTATTTTCAACACATATCTGCAGTTTTGAGCAATAGCCATTCCACTACAACAATACATTGCGTTGAATTTTCTTTTGCAAGAGTAATTAGTCCACTGCTCTTAAGCTCAATCCCGTGCGAAGTCTCTGAACAAGATCAAAATGCAAACGAATGTTCTGCCAGAGCACCGTCCAGAGTCCCATACCCAGTGAAGCCCTTGTTGCAAACTGAAACTGTCTGAGCGTGGTCTTCACCGGCTGCATTTTTATCAGCATTCTATTTTTCTGAGTTCTGACCAGGATGTCTCATCAAGTTCAGCTTACAGCATTCCAGGGCTGCTTCTTCAGCTGGTATCTCCGACCTCTCAAACTCCTCCCATAAGGCGATTCCACGGGCTTCTGAACCACATGCCCCATTAGTGTCCCCACAATAACCTCACTCTGGGTACCTAAATCTGTCTTAGCTACTTTTCTTGTTGCTGAGACAAAATGCTCAACACCCCTAAGTTAAAGGAGAAGAGGTTTATTTCAGCTCATGGTTCATAGAGGCTTCCATCCACAGGCATATGGCTCCGATTTAGGTGGCGGACCAGGGGAGAACACAGAGGAGAAGCAGTCCACGGCAAGCAGGCAAGAGTCAGCGAAGCAACAGCAGCAGGGCAAGCCCACCTTCCCGCCCTTTCTGTTTTGTCCAGGCTTTAAGACTACTGACTGGTTCCACCAAGGGTGCGGGCTTCCGTTATCCATACACAGAGCGATCTATCTCCACTGAGTGGACTCCTTGAGTACCACACACAGCCTTCGTCCCAGTACTGTCAGATGCCCTAGATCCAGTCAGCTCTGAAAAGCCCATCTATGAGTGCAAGGGACTCTGAGTGGACACCTAGACACAGCTACGACCAAGGCCACCCTACTTGACTCTTGCCAAGCCAGTTCTACCTGAGTCTGGTTGTGGTCGAAATAAACCTAGGGATTCTGCTCTCTGTAACAAAGAAACATGGGATTCCCACGTATCCTGAAACTTCATAGCCACTCACAACTCATTCTTGTCCTTCCCTCTGCCGGTGTGGACATGAGTCCTGAAATGCACGGACACAGGTCTAGCTATCTCTGGAAATTGCTGAAACACTTCTGGGAATGGTAAGACCCGATATTCCAAGGAAGATCCATAAACAAGAACTGATCTATGTCCTCAGTGCAAATCAGAGTCAGTATAAAGAACCATGTACTCCCAACAGAAACCCACCCAGCTGAGATATGTGTGTGCTCACTGTTCTTAAAACCCATCTGTTTCATCATTTTATGGAAGCAATGGCTCGGAGAACGTGTGTCCAGGAAGACCCCAGAAGTATAACTGATCCAATCACACAAAGAACTGGTTTCCCTCCAAGTTTATGTCTCTACTTTGAAGTGTTCAACAGTTCACATAATGTCTATCATAAAAGTCACATATTTTTCATAAATGATTTATTTTTTTATCCCTGAGACTGAATAATTTATCCATTGCTTTAGATTTTTTTTTTTTTAAAAAAGTAACAACTTTAAGACATTCTTTCAGGAAAAGAGATTTTTCCAGCTAAGACGAGACAAATTGCTGGAGTTTGTTACCTAAGAGCCTGTAATACTCTATTTAGGCTTTGAAGAAAACTATATAAAGATTTAAGATCCTACACCTAAATTGTAAACTAACCTATCTTGTAGTTCTTTCCATTTTAGAGTGCAGTTTGCATGCTCAGCACGTAGAGAAAGGCTAGTGGGCAATGGTGAGTAAGCGACAGCATGAGCCGTCTTCCAGGTCCACGCTGGCCTTTCGGTGTGCCCTGCTACTACAGCCCACTGTTCAGGAGTGCAACTCCTCTAGTATTGTCTGAAAAGGAGATTCACGCAGAACAGAACCTTGGGCGTGTAGCAGAATCTCTGGTACTCAGTTTCTTGAACTATAAAATGGAGATGATAAAAAAAAAAAAAAACCTATTGCCTAGGATTAGCATGAGATTTGTGACAGTTCATATCTCATACTAAGCACTTCATAACTGTTCTTACTAAGATTATTTTTATTATTAGCTGCTGAGTGTTTTAGTGAGCAGGAGATTATCTACTACCACACTCACCTTGCTGCTTTGAAATCTGCTTCTTACATGGAATAAGCATCTCCAGTTAACACAGACCTCAGTCACTCCATATAAAAATACAAATAAATCACATGAAAAGTGAACTCATGGGCAAAGAATATACTTCAAATACTACATATTAATCTACCAACAGCTTATAAAAATATAATTTTAGATGGGTCATCCCTTCCCTCTTGTCCCAGGACCCCGACAGTGCAAGACTTCCCAGAGAGCCCTTGCTGCGGCCCCCGTCTTTACCCACTCAGGCACTGCAGGCTCACAGGCTCAGCATACTCTGAGTAGCTCAGGAGAGAGTTCGTAACTCCACATCTACACAGACCCCATCTTAGTGGCAGCATCCTAAGTACCCAAAAATATTTACAAAAAAGAATAGCAAGGCCAGCGCATCTGATCTAAAAATCCCATTGTCAAATTTACCACTTGTTCTTATGGACTAAAGTATAAAACTTATGAAATAACTTTCTTTTTATTATTCATCTCTTTAATGAGGGGACAAAATTTTGAACATTGGTGGCCAAAATCTAGGTCTGACACCAAAACAGCTGCACACTCTAGAAAGGGACAATAATCCTCCTCATCCTCACAGTGACAAGGAGAGGTTATTACCCAGCATGCCCATCTATTGGAGAAGGCAGAACAAAGCCTTCAGTAACTATTTCACTGCACAACAAATATATAAGGTGGTTTATTGCGACCACTGACTGAGTTCTTAATGCTGTAGGCTTCGCCCATCTTTCTATGCTTCCCTCACCACGTACTGAGAGCCGGCCTAAAGGAAATGCTACTGAGAGACCAATTCTCACATGTTATTATAGAATCAAAGAAGTAGGTTAAATTTTTAAAAAATCTAAAGTCTACACATTAGCATACCTGCAAGCTATGATACTTTGATAAGTATGGATCACAAAGTAGCATTTAATTCAGGGCAGCTAACTTTTACACTGATCCATGTATAACAAAGGTATCTCAACTGAGACTACCAGAAAAGTAAAAATTAATGCTACCAATATCCAAATGCTTTTATTTCATGAAGCATGGTAGATCAATGGAACTGCCACCCCAGAGACTTTCCCCATAACCTTGATCTACTAATTAGATAATACAAACAAGTCAGCAAGCTTCCTGATTATTACACTTTCTGTTCTACAAGAGAATTAGCACTTGCCCTCAAACGACCCCACAGGAAAGTCCTAAAGTATAAGGAACAAAAATCTGAGTACCTCAAAATGCTATAGGCATCCTGCAATGAGATATGCCTTAAGTAAGAAAAGCACGGGGCTGGGGAAGTAGCTCAGTGGAATAAGTGCTTGCCTGGCAAGCACAAGGTACTGAGTTCAATCCCTGGTATCATAAAAAAAGAAAAAGAAAAGCTCACAAATTATCCCTATGTAGGGTAGAATATTTGTAAAGGAGATTTTCTTACTACACACCAAACAGTTCTGGTTATAGCCATGTTAGCTTCAAGTATAACACTCACCACAGAAGAAAAGGGAGAGATAACCTACCCCATGTTGCCATCCATCAGAAGAATTGTGTTGTATATGTGAGAGAAAATGAAGAGAAAGAGAATCGTGCTGAAGAACATTGTCATCCATGACCCGTGATCCTCTCGAAACATTTTTAACCGGAGCAACTGACCTGAAATACAAACATTATTAGAAGTCAGTGTCCAATGCAATCCAACATTCACACCTCTACGCTTTGTCTTAGTCAATCTCCATTTTCCTGCTGCATTCTGAGTCCTCTTCCACAGGTCTGTCTTCTGGGGGAAACCACTACACTACGTCTTCTTTGCGCTTCTGTAAATAAACGCTCCAGCCTAACACCCACAGCAGCCTCCTGTCACACGAGCTTGCTCATTGTTCTGGCGTGAAAGTAAGATGAACTAGAGTGGCACTACTTTCCATTCTTTTTCATAAATACATTTTTGGTTCATAATGAAAATACTGAAAGCAAGTGGTGACAAATGGCTTTGTCACAAGACACAGACGGGCCAGCCACGCTCCTAGCTAGCCTAGTCTGGACCTGTGAAGGCACAGACGAGCAAGTCGCGAAGGCCGGCACTGCTCCTGGTGGGACGCAACTTTCACCCTGAACGCTAACAATCACATTTCGCGTAGAAAATGCTAAAGTTAAAGGCAATGTTAAAATGCAAATGCTTTGATAAAAAACATTCCTTACTCTAAAAATTACTAGGATTAGAATTAATCCAGAGAAATATTTTAATTTTTAAAATTATTTATTTATCTTTTTATGTATTTGATACAGGTCTCGCTTTGCAGTTCAGATTCATAGTGATCCTCCTGTCTCAGCCTCCTCAGCGCTGGGATTACAGACTTGCACCACCACGCCCAGCACTGGGATTACAGACTTGCACCACCACGCCCAGTTTTGGTGCCCGGCATGGCGCACCCATGATTGTGGCACAGCACGCGGTACCAGGGATCGAACCTGGGTCCCTGTGCCGGCCCGGCAGGTGCTTAGACCACTGTGAGAGAAAATGGAGCTATCTCCCCAGCCCCCAAATACTTTGATTTTTGATAAAGGAAGGAAATGATGATATAAGGAAGATCTAGAATGAAACAGAATGAGGGAACGGGACGAGCTAGAAGAGACAAAGGAGAGGAGGAAATACTATGAGGGCAAAAAATTCAGGACATGTCACTCTGGCTTCTCCCAAGGCAAGTTTTCTCTAGTACGGCTATCTCCATCTCTGCATGTCTAAATAATAAGAAAAACAATATAGATGTAGGAACTACAATTAAGAGTAGAGCTAAAATTGTATAATAAAATTTTTCACTAGAGAAAGTATTACCATTTTAAGGATATAAAAGTTATGAAAAGCACATATGTATTTCCATCTGGAAATGGCCTCCCTGGGGATACATGGTCCATCTCCAGTAACTTCCTGAGCACAGGAAGCAATAGTCGTTTAGCTATCGGACTTTCCATTAGATTTCACTTTTACTTAAAGAGCACATTAGATGTCACTTGGACACCACGCTAACAGAAACATTATTCTAGCTAAAACTATAGATGAACCAAGACAAGGCAATTTGGGTGACATCACCTGGCTTTCTCGACCTGTGCAGAAGAACAAAAAAAGCAGACAGGACAGTCAGAGGAATGTGACTGTGTAACCCCCCCCAAAAAAAAAAAAAATTAGGAAACTCTACTAACACAAGCGCCACTAGAACCTCAAATGTCAAGATTATAGAACATGATTACTGGATTCAAGGAAGTATTTTGAAGATAATGATACACAGAGCTTTAACTATTCTTACTCTCTTATTCTTTTGTTATCCAATTTTGTTTGATTTTCACACAAAATTAAAACTAATTATGGAAATCCAGGGCCGTCTAAGCCTCCACATGACACACCGTCAGAAATCCTGGGATCAGTAGATAGTAAGCATGAAATGTTTGTGAGCAAAAATACGTGACATAAATACCTTAAAGCAAACTATAAAGAACAATTCATTCATTAAGTGAACAAATATTTAATGTGTGCCTATTACACACCAGACAAATTCTAGGAGGCGAATGTAACATCTGTGAGCAAAACAGGAGATAAGCAAGATACGGATCTAAATCAACCTTCATTTGGGTATCTAATAAAAAGGTTTTTTTTTTTTTTAGATTCATAGACACTGTCTGGGTTCCTTTAGCACTAAACCCAGACCTGCTTGTTTAGCTCAGTAGTTGATAATGAAGAACCACAAAGACTTGCAATTAAAGCTCCTCTAAGTCTAAATGTGAGTTTCTTTCGTAACTTGCACATGTCAAAAATTTTTCTAATTGGGTGTATTTTAAGAATCAAATAATGATTCTGGTGATTTAAAGTGCTCTGTGAATAAAACATTTGTGAATTAATTGTTCACTGGCTGAAATAACGCAAATGGAGTAGAAAGAGATGTGACAGTAGCTCTCATGTTGTCACTACCAAGCTCACGGTCTGGCACTAATTTCAGCCATTACAGTCATTAGAAAAAAAAAAAAAATGCCAGGTTAACATGGCTTGAAATTCACTGAAAAAGCACAAAATAGTAGTATAATATATTAACACTGGAACTGGTGAGACTTGATTATTGAGTTAAATCACATTGTAAAAATCCCCACAAGCCAAATTTCAGGCAAATCACGTTATGAGAAGGACCGTATAAGCTAAACCTCTAGGCTGACTCGGTGACAGGCCAGCGAGTGCTGCAACTCGCACACACAGACGGCCATCAGCTGACTGCTCTGACAAATGACCTTGCCACGCAGTCTAATCAAGCCAAGAGCCCTCGGGCTGGCTGACGGTGTCACGTGAAAACGCAGTCTCTGCCCTGTTAGATGACCGTACGTGTTGCTTGCCCAGGCCAGTGGTGGGTGACAACTATTACCACTGCAGAATTATCAACAGTGGCCCTCTCCTTTCCAAGGCCTCTGGGTTGGACGATAAGTTACAGCTGTCTCTCACTATCTGCAGAGTCAGCTCCCAACCCCTTCATGGGTGCCCAAGGTCATCAATACTGTCTCATATAAAATGGTACAGGGTGGTATAGAACACACCTACATCCTCCCATCCTCCCATAGTCTTTAAGTCATCCATAGATGACGTATACATTTAACAAAACATAAACACTACATAAAGACTGTAATGCCTATGAGACAGTGACCACTAAAACCCTGTACATTGTCAGTACAGACACAGTTTTTTTCAAATATTTTCAGTCCAGGGTTGATTGATCCTGTGGATATGGTACCTGTAGGTAAAGAGGACTCGTGGTATAAAGCATCTTCGTACGGTCACAGAATTCGGAATTTTATATCACTTTCCAGTAGATGAATATCAGGAGAAAACTTGGGTGAAAACAGTTTTTACAGATCAGTAGAAATAACAGGCATCTCTAAGAAAAAGGCACATTTCTGACCCGGCCAGAAACAATTTTCAATTTCACCACCTGTGATAGGTACAATTCTGACCCGGCAAGCTGAGAAAATACTAACATTGTACTCTCTGCTCTGCTTTGTAAACAGAAACTCAGAGTGAGATTAATTTAATTTAGAAGGAAAAATGTTGCATTACAGATAAGACCCCGATTAGGAAACAGAAAAGGACAAACGAAGGGCCGTTTCCTCAGGACGATACCAAGCATACTCAAGTTTTGCGCCCCGAGTCTCCGCGGAAGACTGGGCTCTTCCCATATAGAACAAAAAATGGCAACTGCAGGTATTTAAAGTTTGGGTAGTCAAAACTTCAAGTTAGCACAAGGGATTCTGCACACACCAGTGAGGATGTTTACTGCCACCAATAACAACAACAACAAAAACCAAAGCCAGTTTATATTACCATAAGCCTTTCTGTATTAGCTTTCTTAGTTTCTTTTTTCATGTTTATTCCCTAAGCAAAATGTAATCAATTTTCTACATATAATTAATTTTTTTAATGCAGTCTTTAGTTTCACAGGAGAGAAGCAAGGACTATAAGGCTGGACCCCGCGCATAGCCACCATCACCAGGCTTGACCCCAGCATCCCGCAGCAGCATTTCCTTTGGGCTGGCTTCCCATCCGAGCAGCCTTCTCCACACACACACATATGCACGTCCTCTGTGGTCTGTAACCTAGAGAGCCTAAGGAATGTGTCTTAATTTTTGTCCATAAAAGAATGGACGCCCATTAGGGGGCCTGCCCATTAGCTCAGTTGTTTAAGTACCTGCTTAAGCAAAGCAGTCAGGCTCAGAATTCTGTGGTTCGATCCCCAGATGCTTATGCCTTACCAGACCTGCCCTTAAGGCGTCCTGAGAGGGACAAAAAAAAAGAATGGATGCTTTTAACCCTTGCATTTCTAGAGAGGCATGGGCTTGTTCTATCCGGGCTCTTTCGGGTCCTGAACAATCAGGCCCACCCAAAGCAATGAAAGCTAATTCAATGTGTCATGCTCCACTCCGACAGCCACGCAAAATCAGTTCTCTGCCCCACTGTGATGGCCAAACATGGAACTAAAGGAGATGGAGCCGCCTGTGGACGTCCCCTAAGTCTCGGAATCACTGCTTGGGGAACCGAAGTCTGTCAAGTTAGGAGAATTAAATGGATGAGAAATTCAATTGATCTCATCAGCTTGTACCTTGAAGGTTTTTGTTACTACAGCTATCACTGTCCACCAGATGCCAGGTGAGTGATACAGCAGACAGACAGAACCCCTTCACTGTGTGAAACTCCTTCTACAGCAGCCTGCTACTAGCCCTACCCACGGGGTCCCAGAGGGCCCCTCAGAACTTTACGCTTGCCCGTCCCTCTATATGTTCCCCATTTACGAGCTAGCCGTCTCCTGACCCTATTCCTCTATTAGCAGGAAGCTTCTATTTTGGCATCAGACCTTCTCCTCCCAACATCTTTGTTCCTGTACACCCTGTACCCATTACATCACCCCCACAAAACTTCAACCCAATTCAGAGCTACAGTTTTGGTGAACTATTGTGGAAGCCAACTGATCGGACTGGGTCGCAAAGCCACTACCCCAGCACGACCTTCAAGTCAACATTGTCTAAGTGCTGCGTGTTTAATTCATTAATATTTTTCCTGGTTCTTGTCAATTCTTTTTTACAACTCCCTCATCAGGAAGTTGTTCCCTTTGTGTATCCAATCTCTCCCC